AGGGGACATTGTACTTGCTCTGTCGTCGGCTCTTTGTTTATATTCCCAGGACAGGGAACGGGGACGGGCCGTTTGACGTGTCGCCGCTTGCAAAGATGTTAAGGGACAAAAGGGGTAAAACCTTAGGCCGTCCACCCCTCGTCTCTCGCCTGGCAAGGAACCGGGGCCACCGTCTCGGAACGCGGCCATTGAAAACGCGATGAAACGCACAAGCTGCCGCCCGTACGCGCTCGTAAGTGCCATATCATTATGCCGCTGGATAATGAAACCCTCGCGAAGTGTCGGTGGGATAAGTAGCTTCCTACGTTTCACGGAACGGACCTACCGCTTTTTCGGTTCGTTCCTCGAAGCAGGAACCGGCGGGGTTCCTTTTTGAGAAAGAAATACGGAAACGACGCGGTGTACCAGAAACGATTTAACCGGCAGCTGAGGAATCTCGAGACGTGGCCGACTGGTTTCCTCGCTCCATATTCCCGATCGTTTCTTCCTCGAATTTTTAATTCCGTGTAAATAAATTAGTAGCATTCGATCGTTTCTTTTTTCCTAATAATAAAATTCTTGAAAAATTTTCGAGCGAGCTACGAATTTTTCACTATTTGGAGATGCGTATCTCGCGCTGAGCGATAGAGAAGAGCGGCTCGTGAGTGTAATTAAAGTGAGCGATGCAACGCGTGACACGGCCCCACGGCTGCCCCGTAATTTAGCCTTAATCTTCGGATAGCCACGATCCGAGTAATCTGGCCGCCGCTCCCATAACTAGAAATAACTCTCGACGTGCATCCTCCCCACCCGTCCAAGGACGGGAAATATCTTCCATCGAATAACTTCGAACAACGTGTCCCCTCCCTTGACACTTCATTACCTCGAAATAATTAATTCCTATCTGGTAACGAGGTACCGGTGTCGTTAAAGTCCATGACACTCGTAATACGCCCGGTTAATGATATCCATATCGCGCCCGTGCTGCACCTCGTGTGCACGTATCATAAGCTGACGTGAGATGTACAGCTTTAAATATTTCACTCGGCCGAACTCTCTCCGTCTACTCATCGACCGAAACACAAACCGGGCTCCTGTTGAAAAAATTGAACTCCCATCGTTCCCACCACCTCTCCCTTTCTCTCTTTCCCCTCTTCTTCTTCTTCTTTTTTTCCCCCTCTTCCTCCCGATAAATTCGCAAAACTACGCTGACGTACCGAGCTGTCAAGCTTTCTCGAGACTCGATCTATATCTCCTCGCTCGTTTATCGAATTCTCGTTTCCGGATCGTTTCGCCAGGTAATCTCGGGCGAACTGTTAATTTATGCATGACTTTTTCCACGGTGTCAGCTACAGGTTTTCCCGAATATCTCGAATTTCGTTGGTACCCGAAATCTAGGGATTGCTAACTAAGGAAGACGGTTAATCGCGATCTCGCGGTTGACAATGTCGCGGCAACGGGTTAATCAAGCACCGATATCTGAAGCACCGCGTGGCGAATTCCATTCTTCTGACCCGATTCCATCCGGTAATAAGTAATCCCCCTCCACCGCGGGGTGAAGAGGGTTAATGGAATTCTTTTCACGCCTTGCCCGTTTTAATTCCGGGTTTTTCAGATTGGCAAATCCGCGGGAAACAGGGGTGAAATCTGAAAATTGCGCGCGGCTTCCAACGTTGTTATTAACGCGATTCACGCGGTCGAAATGAGACTGTCCGTTTAGGAAAATTCGAGCAAATTGCGACTCTCTCCGGCTAGTCGAACGCTTATTACCGGAGTGAAAATCTCGGAGAAAAAGGAGAACAGGAGAACGGAAGAGACCCCTTTCCCGACTAAATACCAGTAATTAAAACGTCGAGGTCTCTCTCTCCTACCGTTTATTTGACATTCGCTCGAAACGAGGGAATGCATTCGTCACTCGTTGCACCCTCGTATATAACGGTCGCTCGAATCATTCTCTTCTGTTTTGCTTCGCGACAATTCGTCCTTATTCAACGTTCCCTCAGAGAACAGATTCGTTTTCACGCCCCGTACATTTACATCCGCGATATTCGTTTCACGGATACGATGCGATGCTTATCAATCTCGAGTTTGTGTCGCGATCTACCTGCGAGTCTACGGTTTTCTTCGTTCTACCCTTTTTTGTATTCCGTCTTTTAACACCACGGTGTTATTATCGTTTTCGTTCTGTTATTCCACATTGAATAAGAATTAATTGGAACGATTTTCGAGACGTGAAAATCACGAGAGTTAATTTTTGCTTAAAATTATTCCAACCTCGCTAGAATGTAATTATATTATACATATATTTACTAATGTAGAATGTAGAATGGCGAGTTCAAAGGATTAATATTCGAAATTGTTACACGGATAACAAGAGTCGAGTTTAAAACGAAGTGACCCGTATCTAACGGTAATTTCTAACGGTGTTACCGTCGGTATGCTCCAGGTTGCAAGGACGAAAGGGGAAAAAGAAGAAGCGCGGATCGGAGGCGAGACAGCGGAAAAACGAGACAGTTCATTGGAACGAGGAAAACCGCGAGCCCGCTTCGTTCCGCAGCTGTTGCCAGAGGCCCGTGCGTTACGACTGCACAGTTTGTTCATTCGCTCCACCGCCGTCACTGCCGCTATCCCGCCGAAGGGGGTGGCTCTAATGAAAGGAGTTTATTAGGACGCCGCGCGCGCCGGAGGACGAGAAGGGTGGATTTGCATCCCTTATGCGTAATTTCGCTTCGATATTAGATTAGTCGGCGCCCGCGTTATCCTCGCCTCGGAATTACGGACCTCTCCTTTCCTCTGATTACAGGAGGGGGCCTCTTTTTTCCCCCGTCTCTCCGCCTTTTTTTACCTCGCGGACGGAATAAAAGCTGCCGATGGCCCATTGTCTCGAAATTAGCCGGCTGTGGACGTCGCGCGCGAGGAGAGCACCGAGAAAATCGATCGCCGCCGCCACTGTTCGCCGTCCCCCAGCAACCACCAGACGTGGAATCGGTGAGACAGGAGCATAGGATAAGAAAAGACACAGGGAGGAGGAAAAATTCCATGTTTCTCGATGATGCTTTCGATCCATCGCGTTTATACCTGTATAAACCATAGGCTTCAACGATTCGTCTCCCCTCTCCCCGATGATGAAAGTGGAGGAATTTCCACGGCGAGGGTAATTCGAGACTTTTTCCTCCCCCTTTCCCTCGAGTATCGCCTCTTTGAAACTCGTTCGACCGTATTCCATTAGAGAATGTTAACGTAAAAGGTGAAACTCCGACCTCGGCGACACGCGGAGGGCGAAGAAGCGGAGCAAGATAAAGGAAGGAGTGGATTTCCGTTGAACTTTATCAGAGCAGTTTGGATTCAAAACGGGATGTTTTCAGAATCGGTAGACCGTCTCACTTGGCCAAAGTCCTTCCTTCCCATCGATCCCGCGTTTATAGCGCCGTTTATACGTGACGCATACGTGCATTTCCCCATTCCTTCGAGTCGTAATAAACGATATCGTCGCCGAGAAACGGTTTTTGGAAACCGTTATGATCGGCGCGACGACGCTCGATTTTTCGCACAATGCCGCGTCGACGACGAAAGAATTCCATCAAACGCGTTCGAGAAACGCGTTACATCCGCTCTGGGTGTCGGCTCGAGACCAAATTGTTGCACGTTCCCACCGACCGATTCCTTCCAATAAAGCTACACGCGCCACCCTGTCTCGTTCGCCAACGCCGTACATTTCGAGATGTACGTGCTCCGGGATCGTAAACAATCTTTCATCGCGCGCTTCCCCTTGTTTCGATCCGCTTAAATGTTTGCTCACGCGATCCGTCGAGTTGCAATAAGCAAATACGAGAGGGAAAGAGAGAGGAGAGAAGGGGGTATCGCGAAACTGGCGGTAAAGGTTGGATGAAGGAAGGGAAAAATTGAAGGGAAATTCGTTTCGATATTTACCGGGACGGTTATCCGGATAGCGGAAAAAATCCTGGCGCGCAATCCGCTCCGGGTAAATAATAATGAAAGAGTATCGATTGGCCGGTCCGCGAGCCTGTGGATACATAGAATTACGGAGAGTTTTGAATGCAACGTTTTTGCGATCGTTACGCGCGCACAATTTCGATTCTCGTTTCGATTGGTGGAGAAAGAAGAATGGAAGAAATTTTGTACGGAAATTAAATCTATCTATGATGATATTTCAGTGATTATTAATCCTTTCGCTACTTCTGCCACTTCTCCACCGCATGTGTACAGAGAAAGATCGTCAGCGTTTACGCATTCGAGTCGCTTTGACGGTGTTTATTGAAAGAAAATTGATGATAGAAACAAAATATTGATGCTACATTTCCAGAGAACCTGGAAATACCGTACGATACGCGGCATCTTATGTGGTAGCGAAAGAGAGAAAAAAATTGTGAGATAGAAAAATAAGGGTGAGTAAGGTGAGAGTCAAGTCGTTCGAAAAAGTCAACGTAATTTATAAATCTTTCACCCTCCTGTCGACGACTTTCGGCAAATATATACACACATATATATATATATATATATATGTATGTGCACGTGTGAACACCCCCAAACGTAAAAATTTGTTTAAGAAGAGACAAACTATCCATCCACTGCTACGTGTCGTGGATACGAAAGATAAACGCATAAGAGCGCGAGATTGTTTAAAGAGGCAGATGGTAACGTACACAAGAACCTCCTTAAGTGGTTTCAACGCGTGGTAGTTCGAAGTAGTTTCGAACGTGTAAGCTCTTCATCTCGCTTCGCGTGTACCTTACCGATTCTCGACACAAAATTTCTAAATCGTGCTCATCTATATAACAATGAATCCATAGAGACGCGTTGTAAAGCAATCGGCCATACTTTTGTCGCGAAGGATACTAAAGATACTTCTCGTTTCTATCGACGATTTCTGAACAATATCGTCGCGGATCGCGTATCGATAATCGTTATCGCAAGCTTGAAGAATTCCCTCAGAGAAACGTTTCCATTTACCGGATCTTCAAACCCAATAACGTACAAAAGATCTTTCGGTGAATTCTTACCTGTTTGCTCGAAGCAGCAGCGCCGTCTCACTACCACCGTTCCCGCTCCACGCTCCCTTCGACGTAGTTGATCCTCATTGTCGTGTAGGCCACGATCAATTGAAAGAGCTCACAGCGGTGAATGTCCACCGATATCAAGTTTCCGGTTAAATGTCGCTCAGGTTGTACCGGTGCAGCTTGAAAGAGGGATTCGTCGCGCTGAAACCAGATCATGCACGCTCGTATAGTTGCATTCGACGCGCGTTCTACGCGACAAATTAACAATCTAGTATTGCTGAACGGAAAAAAAAAAAAAAAAGGAAAAAATAAAAAGGTTGTACGAAACCGCGCGGTTTACAATCGAAAAGAATTTTATCACGGATCCGATTCACAGGTTTTCTTTTTTATTTTTATTTTTATTTTTATTTTTTTTTTTCACCACACTTTGTTCGATTCTCCATATATCCACGTTCGGTTCTCCTCGCACAGAGGATCGAAATACATTTGATATTCGACGAGTCTCCTCTCCTCTCTTTCCTCGAAATGGAGATAAATTTTCGTGTTGTCTTTGGAATCGTGGAGCGTTTATAACAGCTCGTTTACCAATCTTTCGATTAATGCCGTGGCGTCGGCAATTTATCGCGAAAGAAGAGGAGAAAGATGAAATTCGAAACGAAAGTCCGCCCCGGCGAGAAATCGATTTGAATCGAACGAATGGTGGAGCCGGGCGCAGACGTTTGGAATTCGGAGTAGAGACACGCGGTTCTAACAAAAAGGGGATCCAATTCCTTGAATCGATCTGACTTGCATCGATCGGATCGAGCGCACGAGTAAAAAATTGCACGCACGCGAATCCATCTTTCCTCTCGAGGTTTTTGCTCGTCGTCGCAGGTGGACGATTTAACGAGCCACGGACGACGATGTTTCACGAAATAGCGCGATAAATTTAATATCAACCGGTGTACATGCTCTTTTTCCTTTCTCAAAAATCATAACTATGCCGATGGAGGAAGATCGAATATCGATTCGAGGAAATCTTCACGTGGAGAAAAAAAAAAAGTAATTCGAAATTAATCTAAATTTCTCATTATCTTTGATTTGAAAAACGAAAGAAAATCGGTCTAAGAAATATACCGATTAATTTCCAGTATACTGCCAAAAATATTATTGCAAAATGTTACCGTGTGTTGCGACGTGGACGAAATTTAAAAGTTAAATTAACCGGGAGAATAGTTAAAGTTGTTGTACTGAAGAAAGCCGCGATGCCAATGGTCAATCTTCTTAAACAGGACAACTACTGCGAGAAGCGGTTGTCTCATTTGCCGCATCCGGTAGTTCGTTTCGCCCGTGTACCGTGGAAAATGCCACGTCGAAACGCGGTTGTTTGAAAGTGTTGCGCCTTCTGCACCGCGAAACATCCTTTTATTCGCGAAAACTTTTCGCCCGTGTATATCTCTCGCTCGCGCGTATACATCGCAATGCACACTAAAATTTTACCGCGTCTCCCCTCCTGTTTTTTCCCCTCCCCTCTCGCTCTTCTCGCACGAACGTAAAAACAATTGCGGCTGGATGTAGCCAGGCTATGATAACCATTAATTCTCCCACATCCCGCTCTCGCCCCCCCACTGTGTAAACTCGAAAGAGACACAGGCGCTTTCGTGTTCAACAGAGTCGACGAAATTGCGTTTTGGGGAAATTTTTTTTCAGAGACTTTGGGTTGACGGGAGATCGAGAAAAGCCAGATCGTCGCAAAGAATCATCCCTCGAATACTTTCCCAACGTCTCTCGCGGAGTTTTCAATCTTCTTTTCCGCCCCTCAACCCTTTACTTAGCTCGACGTCTACGATCTTTCAATAAATTGTAAATACCACCGACCGCGTTTCAATATTGAAACACAGCCGCGGACTGATTGCCAATTACTTTCTTTTCCCCTTCCAATCTCTGTCTCTCCCCTATTTTCGCTCTTATTTTTCGTCGTCCGTTTGCTTGTCCGTATTCGGTAAGGGAACAAGAGAGCGGCTAGAGAGTAAGAATAATTGCTTAAATATATTTTTTGTATACGACGATATATGACCATAAACTATTTGAAATATCGACAATTGTACATGTGCGTTTATTACATTTTTCTTTTTATTAAAAAATACTTTTGATATCAGGGATCGAACGCGACAGCTTCTACAACACGAAAACAGGGTCTCGATACAAGCTATCGGCCCTCTCGTTCCCGTATCAAGATTTGAAAATTAGAACGTTTTCCCACACTGGGCGAAATGGAAGGTAGCACGGCCAGGTGTTCGCGATACCTACACGATATTCGTTTTATGCGCTTTTTCCTTGGTATCGCGACCACCCCGACAACAAACTTGTTTGACAAAGAGCAATGAACGAAGGTGTGGGCGTTTCGCGTTGGCCGTAGATTTTTCGACGCGGCCCATAGGGTTGAAATACAGCTGGCAGCCGGGAAAAATCCAATGTAAATCAAATCGTCGTAAAGCACGCCCTGTTCCCCGACACATTATAGGGAGAAACGGCTCGACAACGTTCCTCGTGTAGGATATTTTTGAACGTCATAGATCGACGCCGCTATATGGTCTGTTAAAAGCGAGAATCGAACAGCGTCGGGTGCCCTCTCGATACGAAACGGCAAATGTTTTTCGGACTTCTCCGCTCGTATTTCGTAAAAACTATGCGACCAAATCGATGTTCCCTGTACTTTTAACTGTACATTCGTTATTTTAACGAACGCGAGAAACACGAGCAAGTTTTTATACGCTTTAAGGATCGTCAAATCAACGACATCGGGAAAGGGATATATGTTTTTCTTTTTTTTTTTTGCCAACGGTTGTGCCAACGTTGCAACGATCGATCCTCGTGTCCCCGTGTCTCGAATCTGATGGCTCTGCGGAATCGCGAAAGTTCGGTGTATAGATCGAAACGAAACTTCCTGTTTCGAATGATATCTAGATGTCTAATTTCGACTAAATTATCCGTATTATGCGTAATATCGTAATTTAGCGGAGGGTTTTAGTGGCGTAATTAGCGAACAGTTAGATGCGCATATTAATGAAGCTAAAGGACAGAATTTATGCCTCTTCGAAATTTGTCGCGATTCTAAAAATTATGGCAATCGTGCGATCTAATATCTCGTATAAAATCTCATAAATTTACGATCCAAGTTTGCGAGCGATTGAACAAGAAGCGGTTGTTCGAAACTTTCTTTACGATCGCTAATGATAATGATCACCAAAGATTTCAGCCTCCCCTGAACACTGAAAACTTTCACTCGAAATATATCGAGTGATCCCGTAATTTCAACTATCATTAAAATCGATCGTCAAACTTAAATACAAAACGGCTACAAAATTTTTCTCGTCGCTTTCCTAGCTTCGATACTTTGATAATTGTACTTGTCGCGTTCTATTACACGCGTAATTTATCCTCGATTATTCGGATTATCAACAGGGATTTTTTTTTACCGTGTATCATGAATGAAAAGTGCTCGAAGAACGGTAACTGTAACGGAAAACCTCGTAGCTTTTAATAACATCGGCACGGGTATCGGTCGGTTTTGTTTGCGAACGAAAAAGGCCTTTCAGAGGAGAATTCGATGCGATGATATTTATGGTCTCCTCCCTTGTCCATGCCACTCGAGAAAGCCGCGAGGAATCATCGAGAAGAGAGGCAGCTCTCTTTGACCCTTCGCTCGTTTTAATCGCCCTGGGCAATTAATCCCTTTTGCTCGATTAAACTCTTATTCTAGCTTTAATTAAAACTTCTTTTTCGCCATCGTTCTTGGCCTGAGCCGCGTTACTTCGTCCAGAAGATCGCGCGTCACCACCGCGATTCGACCCCTCTTTACATGGAAACTGAATCTGCCGCTAATTGATTTTCGAATCGGAAGAAGGAGGAAAGTTTCGCGAGAAGTCTGGTTGGAAATAGAGAAAGGAAGGCAGCCTCGATTTATCGGCTCCTCCACTAGTAGACGAAAGAGAAAGAGAAAGAGAAAGAGAGAGAGAGAGAGATATGTTTGAACAAGTTCGAAAAGAGTAAATGGTAAAACAGAGTGTAAATAAGATAAACAAAAGGTAAAGGAAGGAAGCGAGAGCAAGTTATCTAGCGCGAACAAGTGTTTCTGATCCTTTCTTACACCAAAGAGAGTGCACCTGCCCCAAAGAGAAATGTGATACGTGCGAGTTGCTCTCTCTCTCTCTTTCTCTCGCCGACAAAGACCTATTTCTGGCAAACGTTGAAGTTTAGGACATCCAACGGTTGACTTTGCCCCGGCTGTTTCTCGAAAGGAAACTTCCTTAAACCTACTGCGAGCCTTTCGTCGGAGTTATAACGATTCCACGATCCCCCCATTCCTAACAGTTTTAATTACGATCGCCCCCATGGAGCGTGATCCCGTCTTCCAGGCTAAGAAGAAATAATATTAATTATGTTTCAAGAGATTCTCGATACCCAGCCCAGTTTTCGCTGATTTTTATCAGTCGAGTTGCGTAATACAGCTGAGGAAATCATCCGTCCGAGGATCTTGGTTAATTATCGTCTTGTAATAAAGTGTCACTGTCAGGATTAAATAATATAGTCCTGAACGAGCGAAGAGAAGAAACGAGCAGACGCGATGCTTATTTATGACCGATAATTCCTTGTAACAGGTGATACCTTCCAAGATCTCTTTCGTCTTGGTATGCGTCAATTAAGTCGGTGATCAATCATTCCCGTAAGAAACTCTCCCGTCGAATACACCGGTGGGAAACGAACCGTGTGGGAGTATCAATGACTCGCCGCTCGAGATTTCTAATCGAATCGCGCGTGACTCTTAACGCGGTCTAATCTTCGTTCCTTTCGGGGCCGCTTATCTCGTGCACGAGAAACGAATTGGATGTGCGCACGTAGATTCCCCGAAATTCAATTCATCGCGACAGGAAACATAATACAAATCATCCGGGATCACCATCGATCAAGTCGAAAGTCTCTCGACGGGTGGACAAGAATGAATCAGCGAGGCTTATTCAAAGCGTATCGAGAACTCGATCCCGCGGAGTCGGTTCGTCGTGTTACACACAAATCGAACATCTCGATATAGTCTACGAAGATCGCCGAGACGCGCGTATAAATACGTACCCACGCTCGTATCGACAGGAGACTAGACCCCTCCCACCCTTCTTTTCTTCCCTTCCCTTCGGGCCCCCCTTAACCGCGTAGAAAGAGAAACAGAAAAGCACGACGGACGACCGATCGTTTAAAAATTGATCGAAACCTTTTTATGAGCAATCCTTGGACAAGGGGATTGGGTGGTGCTCTGAATATCACGTGAATCGCGATAGAAAAATGAGAACGACAAGGGGAGAGACGAGAGACCGGTTCGTGATTCTTCGTGTATGTTTGCCGTACAAACCACGAAGTATCTTCTCTTTTTCTAACGATATATCAAAGTTATTACGAACATGTACTGTTGCAACATTAATATCACTTGAGAATTTTATATAAGAAGATTAATTTTATGTAACTAAAAATAAATATTCATAGGCTATTATTTGAAAAGTTACGCCATCTACGACACAATTCAATATGGACGACGATTACATTTATGCGTGTCATTTTCCCATCCTTTCTCTTCACCCCCCTTGCCTAATTGGTGATAATGAATCAGCAATAATCGTTCAATTAGACTAAGCAGAAAGTAATACGAGAAGGAAATAATAATAAAAATAATATCAGTAATAAAGAAATAATTGAATTAAACAAAAAATCATCGATAAGAATAAATTACGATTCAACT